AAGAGAACAGCTTTCCAATGGAGAGTTGAATTCTCTATTAGAAAGCTATTCTCCTATTGGATATCGGACATCGAACGCGGTGTGAATCCATTACATAATACGAATTCGGTATCACGACCTCGTATCGCGGTAAACGATGATATCTCGTAGCACGAAAAGGCTTTGAAACTAATAACAAAAAAATTATAAATCTTTTCACGTAAACTCTATCTTACTTAGCAAAATGTTATCTTTCTCTTAACTTTCCAATTAAGTTTTTTATTTTTTATGATTTTATGCTCGAGGAAAATATTTATTATTAATTCCCTACACACGAAACATGATAGCCAATCAACGTGCTGTTTCACTATAATGCAGGATTCACACCGCGTCCGCATCGAACATCGGACGCGGTGTGAATCCTGCATAAGAGAACGGTTTTCTAATAGAGAATTCAATTCTCCATTGGAAAGCTGTTCTCGTATTGGACGTCGTACGTCGCCGCGGAGGTGAATCCTCCATAAAAGCTAGAAGTTTATTGGCTACACGTCACTTCTTGTCGTGCGATTTTACGTTCTGTAGGTTTCTTCGCGTCGTATGTCCCAACTTGCTCCTACTCGCTACGCACTCTGATTGGTGTCGTGACGCATGATGACGTGACCAATCAGAGTGGGTTGGAGCGAGTAGGAGCACGTTGGGGCATGCGACGCGACACCTTCTACATTGAGCGGAAGTGGGATTGCGGCGGCAGTAGACCATGGTCACGTAACTTTCTTTTCTTGCTCTTTGCTTTCATCAGCCATCATGGTGAGCATTTACGTATAAACTGTGATATTTAAGACTACCTCTCACGATTTCACGATAAATCCGTATATATTTCGCAAAAAATATAGATTCTCGTAAAATAGTACATCAAAATTACAATACATTCGGCTTACTTTGTTCACGATAAGGCGATGAGGCCTTTGTGTAATCCACGTGTTATATTCAATCCATCGAATATAATCGCTTTAATTTAGTTTTGCTTCTAGAGAAAATATTAATTGCGTTTATCTTGATAGTAGAGAGTAACCATCGCATAAAATACAATTAATAACGAATTTTTCAAGTTGACAAGAATATAACCTATCTTTTAGTGTATCCATAGTGTTCTGAGTTAATCGTAACAACTGTTTATTAATATTTTTTTTTGTATTTTTTTATAAGTTTCAAATAATTAAAAGTTAATTTTCACAACTCTAAAACATATATGTATTCTTTCTTTTATTCATAATCATTGTTTTACATCTATTATTGCAGCCTCCTAAAAAGGATACTAAGAGCTCCTCTAAGCAACCGCAGAAAACTCAGAAGAAGAAGGAAGGTGGATCAGGTGGTAAAGCTAAGAAGAAGGTTGTTACTTTATTATAATCATGATAATTATATTAGATAATTTGATGAAATAGATCTCAATTGATGTGCACTTATCAACTTGACCAATCATGGAGGCAAAAACTGATTTAATGAGTCTGATGAGATTTAAATTCCATATCTTTAATGTTGCCTATATAATGTTAGTATTGGTTTTAACATATTGTCTTTACTATACTTGCAGAAGTGGTCCAAGGGAAAAGTACGTGATAAGTTAAATAATCAAGTACTCTTTGACAAATCCACGTATGAAAAGCTGTTGAAGGAGGTTCCACAATACAAATTGATCACACCCTCCATTGTCAGTGAAAGATTGAAGATCAGAGGGTCTCTTGCCAGAAGGGCTCTGATTGAACTTCAACAGAAGGGTCTTATTAAGCAAGTTATACAACATCATGCACAACTTATCTACACACGTACTACTAAAGGAGATGACCCAGCGGTGTAATATGTATAAGATGTTTTAATAAACAAATTAAATTCATTTTCTCCAATTTTAATCATATCCCCTTATATTCATTACTTCTATTTAATACTCTTATATAACTTAATTAGTTCATAAAATAGAGACAGGATTTGGTAATAAAACATTAGCTTTGTTTCTATATAATAATTATAAATTTATAAATTAATTTATAATTTTCTAATATAAAATATATATAATTATGAACTTTCTCTTTTTACAATAAGAATTTTTAAATAGCAAGGAATAATACTACATTAAATGAAATAGGTTATTTTATTTAAATTCTCCAAATTTAATTTTGTACTACACAAAGAGAATCACAGATAAGAATATTTATGTAAGTAAAATCATTTTTATTACGTCAATATAATACAGAAAATAATCTTACTCTCTAACGTGTGTAAAAAGAATGCGTTTATACAAGGATTTGGCAATTATGATACAATTTGAAGACAAGAGCCAACAAAAAAACAAATCGTGTCGGTTACTTTATCTTAACGAACGTTGCATGAAAATTGTGTCGTTCGGTAAATCTCGTTTACTCCGCCCAACCGACTGTATATCTTTTATTATACAGCAATGGACATTTATCTTACATTGTGCTATCTGTTATGTCTGTCAAAACACCTGCTTTCACGCTCTCGCTTCCGATATCGATTGAAGATATTCGCGTTTGCATGAAGAGAATCTCGCGCCTCGTTTTTGTCGATGTTTATTCGACCGAGCGCTTGTAATTTACCGTTTCTCAACAGGTAATGCTTCGTGCTATCGTTGGTCTCGGAATCGCGAAACTTTACTTGCTGCTGTGTGTAATCGTCTTTGCCGCGCAACCGGCTTTTACGATGAAGCCTATTGTCATTATCGTCACTGACATCGTTGTCGTTATTGTCCTCCTCGTCGCTCACTAACAACTCTAGCTTAGGATTGATTACATTCTGTATCTTGCACAGATCTATACTGACTCTGATAGTGGAATCGTCGTTGCACTTTCTTTCGTCCTCGCGAAAATCCATGCACCGGATCAGTTGACTGGAATCGCACGCGTCGATCTGTTTGTTCGAAATGCTACGCTCGTTGAACATGATGTTCGGTACACTTACGATATCCCGGTCCCAGATCCGCGATCTCGTGACGCTCGTTCGATCTGAATGCGCGTAACTACTACTCTTCGCATGGTTCGCGGTTGTGTATGAGAGATTGCGCGAGGGTGATGTCTGAGAGTCATTCATCGCGCGCGAGCCGTCGCTACCCTTGTTATCGATGCGTCGATTCGCCGCGACAGTAACATTGTTTTGCAGTACTTTCTCAACGTTTTTATTCGTTTGGACAATATTTAAGTCAGAATCAATGCTGTGTATTGTACGTTTACGAGTCAACCAGCTGCTCTCCTCCGTAACAGGTGTGGGCTGCTTGCGCTGCACACTCTCCCGATGCTCGATGCGCAAGTTTTGGCTGCGGTCATTATCCTTACTACCTACAGAAGTGTTACATATTGCTCGGCCTAACGCGTTTGGGTTAGTGTCGTTTGTCGCGTGTGCGTCGTCGACAACGTTCGTCAGACTTGTGTTACCAGAGGTAACGTTACAAGAAACCATCCTCGAAACTGGATCCAGGTTCTCCTTCGTATCGTCGTGTGCGACAATTGTCGTTGCGTCGGCTGTACGTTCAGTCTTATTGTCAGTCGAACGACTCGCGAGCGAATCACTGTCGATGTGATTTGAACTAGACGAAGCTTCGTATCGCGCCTGAGAAGTAAAAAGTCTCGGCTTCCACGTGGCTTTTTTGCATAGGTCGGTGAAGTTTTTGATGTTGTTTTTCACGGAGATATTTACAGAGAACGTGTCGTATAAGGTCATCTGCGGAAAATGTAAACACACATCAATACACCTCTACAATTTTCAAAATCGATCGTGGAACTGAACTCGCCGGATTTTTCTTCGGCGAATCAACGATTACGTATGCACAGTAGTCTAAGACCAATTTAGTTATGTTTTTACACAGATACCACAGTCTACGTTTGTATCGTCTGCATAAAATTAATTTGACAATTTCTGATGTGATTACTAGTTACATTACATTAGCTGTAACTATTAGTTGTATTTATACATCCTGTATATATTTACTTAGATAAATTTTATCTACAATTCTTTACGATATAAAATTAAACTTAGTTATGATTCAGTTAATGCTATGATTGCTATGATAGTTATGATAATATGGTTGTCTATGCACACCAACAGTTACAACACTGGAAATTAAATCGGTTTTATTGCTGCTCATGTAAACGCAGATTATATGTACTACACTGAACTGATTTTAAATTACCGTGTAAACGTAATCAGCAATATCAGTGGCTCATTATCGTGATCGCGTCGTCATCGTATACATGTCTTACCTGAATATTTTTTCCGCAGACGCGGAATTTGAGGTCATGTAGATGCATATATTGCGGTATCAATCGAGGTTGATGACAGGCGTTATGGTTGTTTGTGACTCGGGGGAAGACACCGTGCTTGGCTCTGATACTTCGAATGCGTGAAATAATGGACATGATATGCATGGAATTGCTGCACAAAAATACATTGAAGTATTATTAATGTGTTGGAAAGTTCACCATTCATGTTCATGTACTATTTTTCAATCTATATATTGAATGGCAGTGTATACTGTGTGTAGGGTTGAGAAGTAACACTTTACTTTTATCGCTTTACTTTTACCGTTACCGTTACTTTTTCCAGTAATAACTTAGTAACAGCATTTTTATTAATAACTGAATCAACTATTACTTTGTTTTTTAAATAAAATTTCATTCCAAGAAATTTACAGAGTAGGATGTGAATGAAGCATATTTGTGGCAAAGAATCATAAAAAGGAATCTTCAAAACTTGATGATAACGAAAATTGTAATATGACTTGTTAAATAAATTGTAATATGACTTGTTAAATTGATTTTTAAATAAAGATAATAAATGTTTTTTTTCGAAATGAGAAGTGGTAACAGTAACGAATTAGTTTTTTTCAAAGGGTAACTAGTAACAGTAATGATTTATTTTCAAAAAATAACTTTCCAATCCTATGTATGTGTAAATTGTAATTTATTTATCACTACTCAATTACTCGTCATGTTTCTCGAGAAAACTTCATCTAAAACACAACGAATATCAATATTTCTCTGTAATTAGACTTACCCCGACAATTGTATCCATTTACAAAGCGATTCGCAAAAAAGGAAAAACAAACAATAATTAATGTGAGAATATATGAAAGATATAAACTGTCCATAAACGACTTACATCGCCGCTGATATGGGAGACACTGCATAGTTTAGACCCGTATTATATTTATTAAACTCACCTTTCATTATGGGGCCTTCGGTTGTATGTTTTTCTGGATCCCTGGAATCTCGGCAAGTTTCTCTCTTGCTCAACTTCCCTTCCAGTGATTTCCGATGCGTTGGATGTGTCTGCGGCTCCAGCATTCTCTGCGGCCTCAGAGAAACAGGCAGGTCTTGTTGACGTAACAGCAGGATTGGTCCTGCCTGCATCCCCGTCACACTGTTAGAATCGCAAGATATTCACTGGAGAGCAGGTACGGGGAAATTTCTGTTACAACATATACTCCCCGCACCGTCTTTCTCGCCAGTATTTTATTCTATTGCTTTGTTGGATATTTAAACGCGGGGTTTATGGAGAGAAGAGAGGTTGAAGAGAGACAGAGAGAGAGAGAAAGATTGCATGGCTCAAGAAAAAAATATTTTATCGCAAAAAAAAGGAATAAAACGTATCTATAAGTTTTCATCAGAGACGTAGTTCTACTTAAACTCCATTCAATCTACGATGTTTCCAAGGTAGAAACAAATAAAAAGAAACGAGCCTCTCATTATCTTAACCAACAACAAAAGTTTTATTGCATTTTTACATAAATTAAATTATATATATATATATATATATATATATATATATATATATATATATATATATGTGTGTGTGTATATATGTGTGCATATATATATATATGTATAGTTATTATACTTTTACAAAATATAATTTGACATTTTTAAGATTTTTAAGTAATTTACTTACTACTATCCTGCTCGAGGAATCGCTGCCAGTGGGAGGATTATCGGTTGTTTTCTCTTGCAGAAGTTCAGCTTGCTGATTACTCGATACTTCTGCCTTCTGACTGTCGTTCGTGATCACATCGGTACTTATCGATTCAGCCATGACTACAGTTTGACGTATATTAGCGGTGTTCTGTATAACAGGTGGCCGTATAACGTCATTCGACGTTGTGGCGTACAAAGTAGCAGCACTCTCGCTTTCTAGACTCCCTTGGCTCGATACTGGTTGCGAGTAGAATATGTTCGACGACGGAAATGAATAGTAAATCTGTTTGTCGTCGGCCTGAATGACGGGCGTGTACAATTTGACGGAGTCGTTTTCGCTGCTCTGTGACGAGGCTATTTCCACAACGCTGTCGTCTGTTTTTAGGTGATGATTGGATTCGATAACCGCATATGCCACGTCTACTTTGCACGTGTCAGTTTGCACAAGTGTAGTAATATCGTTCTTTTGACTGGTACTCAAGGACGGACTGGAAATTTTAGTTATGGATGCGGTGTACTCGTCGATGTCTTCAATAATTTCGCTAGGCTCCATGTTAGACGTGTCCTTAGACTCGACTCTTTGATTTTGCTCCCGCCAAGTGTCATGCATGACGGTATCCGTTAACATTTCGTCCAAACTGTTTCCTTTGATTTTCTTACAATTGTTGTCGGCGATATTGGTTGCTGAAAGATATAACGTAATTATTAGTTTTATTGTATTTAAAATATTCTTTTTCGTTTCATTGTTTATTTCTTCATAGATAACAATCTTCAGAAAAAAGAACCGAACATCTGAACTTTAATTTTTTATTAAAATTATACATCCTAAGTAATCTCTTTTATTAATTTCTTTTTGTTTTATTGTTTTATTTTTATTTTATGATAACTATACGCAAGTATTTATTAGGCCTTTTAATTAAATATATCAACAGATCATGAATTTAATTTCTTATGTAAAGTTATTATTCATACATACGCGTATGTTAATAGACTCATTTCTTTCAAGGCTCCTAGATACTCGCGTAGACTGTCCTTGTTTGTTTACGAGAAATCGCCCATTAGACCGAGTCGAATTAGGAAAAAGTTTGCGGATTAAAATCCAATAGTGCGAAAAAGTTGCTATTCATAAATGCAAGCATAATGCAAAAACATTTTTTGAAATCGGTCAATATCTTCAGGTCGCGTAACGTACCCAAAGTTTTTGATTTTTGATCCAAAATGTGAAATGTTATGAAAAGATCAAAATGAAGTGGAAATCATCAAAAGGCGGTGAAACTCAACTCAAGTTGATTGAAGGTCAAAAATTGCAAAATAGCAATCCCAAGTAGAACACAAGCTCATAAAAATATCACTATGACATCACATGAAAATCATTTCAAAAAATATCATCATAATGTCATTTGATGTAGTTTTTTGATGAGTATGTGATGAATTCTTGACTTCGGAATGATTTTATAGTGATTTTTTTCTAACAGCATAAGAAATGGTACGTTATGAGGATATAGAACGTCCATAGAACATCCCCAGGACGTTTCTGGATATTTGTTTTTAGAGTGAAACTGTGCATTAAAACAGAAAATCATAATAACATCAAAATGACTTCCATTTGACATCAAAGTGAGGATAATAATGATATAATAATGATTAAAAAATGAGTTCCTTATTCATTTTGAAAGTATTGTACTTTTTTGTTTTAAGTGAGTATTTACACATTGGCTGCGTTTGAAGTTTTATGCCAGGGTCCCTATTCCGTAACCACTTATCGACAATTGTCGGATCGGAAGTGGTTGCGGAATAAGGCCCCAGTACTGAAAATCTATATTATATATGACATGAACTGTAGAGTTCATGTAGAGTACATTCCGAACACAGCCAATTTATAATCGACTAATCCCAACAATACTAATTCAACTTGACTAATTCAATAAAAAATGACATAAATTTAGTCAAAATGACATTAGATTGACATTATTTTGACTATCTGTTCTACCTGAGTCAAAGAGCTACATTGACGCAATTGCACCACACCTGACAACCTTATATTACGTATACATATTATAGATTTTTAATACTAGTAGTGAATATCGAAACAAAACCCTAATATGTAGTAGTATATCTTATGTTCAAATCGAAATATATCATAATTTAGTTTAACACATTAATATCATCTCTTTACATTAACATCATCTCTTTTACTGATTATTGACAGGGTTGGATAGTAAATAGTTAAAAAGTTAAATAGCTTTATAACTTGGTTACATTTTTACACTGTTAACTTTTAACTTAGTTACATTTTATCGGTAACTATTAACTTTTAGTTCAATTATCTTGAAATTAACCATGCCATAAAGGTGTCGCGAGACGTCGAAAAGCTGTTCAGTGTAGAAGGGTTCATTTTCGACAATCTTCAAGGAAATTCAATAAAAATTTCTAAAAAAATTTATTACTTAAATTTAATAAGTATCTGTAAATGAAACAGGTTTTCAAATAAGGTCTATATTTGTTTTTTTCCATTATTTATAAAACTGAAACCCTGAAGTCATGAAATGAAACAAATTTAACTTTTAACTTTTTAATTACTTTTTTTTATTAACTAAACTTTTAATTCAATTAATTTCATTATGAGTTAACTTTATCTTAACTAAGTTAAATTTTCAAAACCATTAACTTTAACTTAGTTAAAAAAAAAGTTAACGTACCCAACCCTGATTGAGATGTGTTCGTTCTACTATTGCAACAAGATATTAAAGCAATATAAACATTTCAGAAACTAAAGAGATTCTTTTAAAACACTTTTACTTATAATACAACATATAACTATCTTTATCACTTTTATGTCATTTTTGCGTCATTTACTATCAATGACATTTAAGTAACAAATTATGTTATAATGATGTCCTGCTGATGTCATCATGACTTCTGTGTTCTACCTGGGATTGAGAGAGGCAAAAAACTCCCCTACCTTGGAGGGAGGTCATTTTCGACAAAATTGGCCAAAAATCTTGAAACAGCAATTTTTTATTTGTCAGTTCAGAACACATGTCAGAATAATACATTTCATATTCCTCACCCCCTCACTCAACCCCTTCGATGCACACACTCCCACATTCATTCTTACATACTGTGTAATTTTGTCCCCTCCCAAGGTAGGAGGGTTTTCTGTCTCTCTCAATTATTACTTTGCAATTTTTGACTTTCAATCAACTTACTGGGTTGAGTTTTACCGCCTTTTGATGATTCTCAGTTTATTTTGATCTTTTCACATTGATCAACATTTCACATTTTGGATAAAAAATCAAAAACTTTGGGTGCATTGCGCGACCTGAAGATATTGACTAATTTCAAAAAATTTTTTTGCATTATGCTTGTAAGTAGCAACTTTTCCACACTATTGGATTTTAATCCGCAAACTTTTTCCTAGTTCGACCCGGTTTAATGCCTGGTCTAATGATTCTTGCGTTGAAATAAAAAAAATATATATACCTAAACTTATGGACGATTTAGCAAATATATAATTTGTACAATGTTCCAAACGTTTTCTTTTTTGTGTTAAGACCTATAAATAGTTGTAAGATTAGTACGACGTGCAAGAGTCAGATTTTAACCAAACTTTTCTCATCATTTCTGTCACGTTAATTTTATGACTATTTATTGATTGTGATAGCAAAAAGAGTGTTTCAAGCATTTTACGAATTTTACTAAATTGATTACAAGTGTCGTTAATGGATATATCTTTTTATTTTAACATATAACGCAAGAATCGTGAGCATGCGATTTCTCGCTTCTGACGCCATCAAACAACAGCCGACGCGAATATTCCAGAACTTTAAGAGGATGCTGAATCTGAAAATTTTACCGACAGAACACTGACATTTTTCTGCAAAGTTTACGTCGTATTGGTTACGCAGAATTACAAATGCTTTTACGCAATGAAAGTACGTGCAAAAATAAATAGGAGCATTGCTCGATATGTGACGAAAACGAACAAAAAATTTGTAATGTAAAATCTCAAGCTATCAGCGTAATTTTTGTCTAATCCAAAAGTTCCGCAGCTTGTACATACCGAAAGTGTGGATGCTCCAAACAAAAAAATTTTGAAGAATATTGTTCTACCTTTGCATCTGCATTTGGAAGCTTAAGAATATCGAAAAAGTTTGCAGAAAGATTTCTATACATATATGGTTAGGTTTTCCGTTGAATATGGTAAAATAAAGCAATACATATTCATGTAAGTTCTATATATACAAGAAATACGAAAAGAATAGCGTGATTATATTAGTGACGATCATCTCTACATAATCGACATTGTTCGAGTTCGTCATCGACTTCAGCATCCCCTTAAAGCCTCTGACTCTTCCCCATGGAACTCTTGATTGAAGACATTAGAAGCGAGAAAATACATGTTAAAAATTCTTGCAAAATACGCTGAAATAAAAAGATGTGTATCTATAAAATGATACAATCCATCAAGCAGACTTTTAAAATAGTCCAAAAAAACAATTTCCTTTTGTTCGAACGATCAATAACTACAAAATTAATGTGACATGCAACCTTTCTCTTTAATTTATCTTTTCTCATGATTTTGTCACGTTGATTTTACAGCTATTTATTGATTATTAGAGTAAACGCAAAAAATGTACGAACTATTTTATGAGTTTGCTCGATCCATTGCAAGAGTACTATTTTGTAAATATATTTTACTTCAACGTATTTTGCAAAAATTTTTAATAAGTATTTCTCACTTCTAATATCAATCAAAATGGCCGCGACGTGGAACCAGGGAGAAACCCTAATTACATTTTCTCTACATTTTTTTGCGATTCTCTCCCCCGCCCCCCTCCTCTCTCTCTCCCTCGTCTTATTTACAATTATTAATTCATTTTACATATAAAAAGTGCAATATAAAGCAGTTAAAAGAAACAGGCTTGTTATCTCAGTCTCTTTAGCAAATTACCTTCCTCGTGTATGCCACGCTTCATCGCAGTAGACGAAGACTGTTGCGAGGCAACCCATTTTTCCAAGGGCTTGATTTCGGCAGAAGACGTGTCACCGGTGTCCGACTGTAACCACGTGACGTTCTCTTCGAGATCTACATCAGGCACGTTCGCGAATACTTCTGGCGGTAGTGAAGTAACGTTAGTAATTTTAATGTTCATGACGGAACTAGAGTCTTCAGAGACTTCCGCATCATCGTTTAAAGAAGCAGTCCGCGTGAGTTCCCGTATGAGTTCCTGCGTGAATCCCTTCGTGGACTGCCGCGTGGATTTTTGCGTAGAGTCCTGCGATGCGGTCACATCCGATTGCTTCGAGATATCAATTTTTTTTCTATTCGAAACATTCGATGTCGATATATTAGATTCTTTAGTATTGTTGCATTTCTTTAGCGCTTCATGATCTGGTTGCAGCGGGTCGATCTCTTTTGTACTTTTATCCGCAGAATTCTCTGTAGAATTGCCCGAATTATCAGATTTCGAAGAACGAAACATGTTCGCCCAAGCGATTTGTACTGTCGGAATATTTATTTTGCGCTTCAACGCGATAATCTGTAGCAAAGCAAATTAAGACAATAATCAATATCAGGTTATCAGTAGATCTATTCTTTTTAGTTAAACACTAATGTTGTACATTTTTGTTTTTGAAATGAAACAAATATATAATCTAACAATGAAGAGAAAAAGTATGAAATTTTAGGACTAATTCAGCTAAAAAGAACAGACCTAATGGTACAAACGTAATTTATATCATTCTTTTATATAAGTTAAATATACTATTACTTTTAAATACTTTTAAAGTTGATATAGTCAAATACGTAAATTATATCGTTTGCGTATATTTCTTCCAATGTCCAATAAGAGAATTTCTCTTCTGAGAAACGTATTCTATCACTGGACATTGGCCGCATTCCGAACTTCAATAAAAAAAATCGTGTGCGAACGAGTATACCGCAATTGCTTTGTCATTTACCTCTACATCGTCGTCATCATCACTTTCGATTGTGATAATGATATTCTCATTTGAATTTAATTGAGATTTCACATTGTTATCAAACGACTTCTTTTGCTCAGTATAATGATCTTTCTCGTTCGTTTGCCGAGAATCGTCCACCTTGCTTTCTTGTGCAGAATCATTTTCCTTATTAACTTTGTCAGTTGTACTTTTTGTAGTAGGAGTACTCGTGGGTACCGATGCACTAAATGGTACAAAACAGAAAACATGAAACATTCCGTTATGACGTCTCGTGCAATCGCAGAACTCACCATGGTGTATCCAACAACGAATCGGTTATGCCGCAAGCTTTCAACTGCTGTTGTAATTTAAACGAACGTGGTCCAGGTCGTGATTTAAAGCTCGGTTCTATCAAAGTGGAAGATGAACTAGGACTAGATAATGAATACAACACGGGAAAATCAGTACCCACAGAGATATCAGAATCGCTTTCGTCTGAATCGGAACCTCTGCTGAGACTAGAACTAAAGGAAAATTAGAGATGTCAAATACAAGTCGCATACAGATAAGTGTTTTCAAGATAAACTCTTAATCGAAATCTTTTCGTTGTCCGTAAAATTGAAAAGTAATAAATATAGTGCATACCTATCAGAACTATTGCCAGATCTTGGACTGTTATGTTCTTTAGCGTTACCTTTATAGGAAAGAAAAATAAAACGTTTAGTTACATTTAGGTTATGATATATTTATTGTATGCCACAATTTTGTAACATACATATACAAGGTAACCATTTTTTAATGTATGACTATTTAATTATTTTAATTGCTTTTCATTGAAAGAACAAAAAAATCAGAAACAAAGAAGCTACTGAAATAATTGAGATCGCACATTAAAATGTTCTTATAAATTAAATAGGTACTCACGTAATATGGAAGTACATTCTTCACATTCCCACGCGGGATTCGCCCATTTCAATTTTCCGCAAGCCATATGAATGCCTTGTGAACCACAAATCCGACATAACACCAACTCCCATTTACTGTAATATGCATTGTTATAAAAATATTTTATAAGAACAATCTATACATATTGAACACTGTACATTTAAGCATAATTTCGTACAATTGTTACTTACGCATTACTGCTTGTATGTTTCCTTCCCTTTGGACAGAGACACAGTGTAGCATCACATTGATCATGTCTATACAATAATTCTTCAAACGCATTTGGTACTAATTCCCATGAAGCATCCCTGATTATACATCAGAAAAATAACTTTAAAATGCACGCAATCAAAATAAAATATTCGCTTAATTTAAGAGAGCATCATACAAATAAAAAAAATATTGACTTCAAGAATTAATTAAGTACTCACTGGCTAGGTATAAAAATTCCGTGTTGCAGCATAGCATTCTGAAAATCTTTTTTATTGTTACATAGGGGACACTTAAAAAAATAACCTGCACTTGAAGCAAGTTGCTGAAACAAGAAATTGTGCATATTATATATTCACATATTACAACATATCATATTTGAAAAAAACCATCAGAATATTAATTTACATTAAAATTAAAATGTATCAACTGTAATCAATAAATTTCATTGTCAAAACTTCCATCAAAACTAACCTGAACACATTTTCGATGAAACCACGCATCTTTTTTACAACAAGGAGCCCACAAGGTCTCCATAAGATCTTTAGGATTTACTCTATCATAACATATATAACACAACATATCATTTGATGAATTAATTTGTTTGAATATATATTCATCAATTTTTTGCTTTGGTCTATGATTTACACAAAATGATCTGAAACATTACAATTACAATCAATTTTATTATCCTACAATTTTTATAGCTATATAGTGTAATATTATTGTTCTAAAATTGTCCCTTACTTAAACTGTCCAAAAAACTGATGTAAAGAACCAGCCTTTAAGCCACAAGGCAAGTGAAATATGCGTTTACATTTTATGTTGCAACAACCTAAAGTTGCACCCACTCTTTTGCAGTAAGAACAAATCTAAAAACAATAATTCAGACGTTAGAAGTTGGTAACAGTAACAAAATTTTTAATTACTAAGGGTAAAGATAAAAATTTGTTTATAGTAAATTAACTTGTGTGAAAATATCACATAACTCAATGCTAAGTTCTTAACAAATTATGCTATTATATTTGTTATAACATAGATATTATATTTTAAGTATAATCTTACATTGTGAAATGATATAAAAAATTATTCTAATATTAATTATAAAAAATTATAAAATATATAACATAAGACAGATGTACATGTCTGCATGTACATATATATAATCTCTATCATCTAATGTTCATAAAACTAATACTTGTTACTATTGATAGATATACCAATTTCTTTCCTCTGCGAAGTTCTTTCTGTATATCGTCTGCTAGGAATCCCAATATACCCTCATCATCATTTCCTTTTTGTTCCATATTAGAAGACAAAAGCTAAAAGTATATTTATACTACATGAAAATCAGAGAAAATAAAGTAGCATGCAATTAGAACATTCTGGAGTTCTGTTGTGTTTGAATAATAACAGAGATAAAACACAAACAAGCTTTCTAATCTAGTAGCATATAACAAAAGTTATTGACTAAGGTCAATAACTGTTTCAAAACTCACCAGACAATAATAGTGCGTGACAATGCCATACTGATCGTACAACTTGCCATAATCCAACTCATTGTCATCTGCCAAGTTGCAAAAGCAACAGACCTTTGAGGAGGAGGTGGTAGTTGTGGAGGAAGTAGAATTACGCTTTGTAGCAGACATTATGCCTAATAAAATCACAGAAATGATCAGAACTGGACAAGACACGAAGTGAGACAATCGCGAATGTTTCACGTCTCGTGAGAGACTCGTCACCGGTGTGGCCTAACGCGGATAATTATACAGTATAACTATCAAACATACGATGAACAAATACGATCATTGCAGATATATCGTAAATCCTGCATTCATCCGACATTACCTGACTATCGCGTCAAAATCGCTCGTCCCGTGGCACATGAAGGCAAATGAACGAATTGATACGCCAAATATCGTGACAACCACGGTGATATCGTGATAATCAGTGATTTCGCAGATAATTCGTATTAACGCTGCACTCACATTTTAACACTCGCGTCTACGTTGTATGTATTCGTGTGAGCAACACAAACAAAACTTTCAAACAGTATCGGCGTGATCGTCCCCTTTAACATTGTCTCGACGACTACAAAATCGCAGACATGTTACTGCGTCCAGCCAAGAAAAACTTAGAGAAACATCGCAGACGAAAAACCGTCGATTCTCACTACAGTCCTCAGGCAAAATCTGCGATTGTTCCTTGGCTTCGTTAATGGAGGACGCTTTTAAATATTTAAGTTCAGCGTGAATGAAATCGACTCTATTTGGAGGGAAACACAGTACCGATGGCCGACGACCGACGATCGACGACCCGTCGCTGATTGGGTCGGATTCAAACATGGAGCACTGAGTAGACTCCACTGATACAGAGGGTGCTTCCGAAATACCCAGAGTTGGGTCGAGTTGAGTTAGTTCCACTATGGCTGCGTTCCGAAATTCACTGTCAGTACTGAAATTCTATAGTATACGTAACATGAACTATAGATTTTCAGTACTGACAGTCAATTTAGGAACGCAGCCTATAGTATATGTAACGGATACTATAGTGGAACTAACTAAACTTGACCCAAACCTGGACATATCGGAAGCACCCAGAGAGACGTCATGGATCTTTCCCTTCAATGTTGCATGAACTAAATTATAAATTATTTTATTTTATTTCTTATTTTATATAATTTGATAAAAGAGCAGAAAACAGAATAATCAAGAGTTAAGTCAGAAAATGTTCTAAACAGAACTTACCTTAACTTTAGAAAAAGTTTACATGGAAGAAAACAGAAACAGAAGCTAACCAAAACTCGTATTGATAATCAGGAGATTAATTGTATATTAATACAACGTGGTGCAAATTGCAAAAGTGAGCAAATTCGCTAGAGCCGTTTTTTCGTTTCGCGATCACGGTAACGGTTGGTTAGTTTGGTCCACTTAACGCTCGCAACGCCGCGAACGTCATTAACCTGGTTTACATCATGCACTTGATATGCGTACAAAATAGTAACTTTCTATTAAATAATCTTAATATCGACAATGCATGTCAACAGCGACGCATTCTATCAATACAATACGTTTTGTGGACGAG